AGGTTCCGAGCGCATGGAGGTCGAGCTGGATCATATTGCTGGTTGCGTTTATGCTAGCGGGGTAGAAATGGTAGCTTATTTTGATCTCGTCTACAAAAACATATGGTATTCCAAATTTCACAATGTCAATTAGGTGGTTGACATAAATCAAAAACAGTGTAATACCAAGGACACTACCCTGTATTACACCACTTGTGACTGCTGTTGGTTCGGATTTATGTTCCCGAATCCGTACCACATGCGTTCGTTCTGTTAGATATGATTTGAACCAGCAAAGCAGGGGTTCCCCGATTCCATACAACATCAATTTGGATATTAGTTTTCCATGTGGCATATCGTGGTACATAACGATTGCAGTACTGCCGTTATCCTGTGAGACAGTTAGATGCTGTAGCAATTGTAGTTGGTACGTTATGCACGAACGTGCATTCAGAAAGCCGTGTCCTTGATTAACTCACGAGACAGTAGGAAGTCGATCGCTTCAGTTTTTATACGTCGCTCTATCAATTTGGATAAGATAGATGTATCTTTTATTAGACGATACTTCTTTGTTTCGAACAGGAAGCCTGATTTGTGTCGCGTTATGACAATGGCTTCTTTCCACTGTGTTGGTACAGTGCCAGAGTTCATGGATATGATGAACAAATTCAAGCAAGAACAAGGGTATATCCACACCCCCGAGTTTGATAAGTGCACGAGGTACATTATCTGGTCCATCGAAGTTTTGTGCAGTTTGCAAGCTTTTGTATGTCACGGTGTTCAAACTTCACACGCGTGAGTTGATCAAGCGTCGATGGTGATATATCCAATCTTGGAGGGTCATTATCCACGGTAAAGGAGGCGCAGAAGTACTGACTAGAGATTTCACTGGTGTGGGTCCGGTCAGTTATTATGTGGTTATCTGCCGTACGCAGTCAGATCGTGTCTTGACTCCGTTTAGTATTCCTACACTTTAAAATGTTGACTGGATCGCAAATTTTCTGCTGGCTGCAGAGGGCTTCTTTTCCAACAGCGATCACTTTGTTACCACATCCCAATCGTAGAGCTGTGGTAGGCTTCTGGTGTTGTGCCAAGAAGGAGAAGTCATTTGTTCTACGATATGCCGTGAGCAACTTTTTGAGCTTTGTGGTAGTTTTACGTGTCGTATACGTTTTGTTACTGTGATGAACGTGTCGATACACCATGGAAGCGAGTATATATATATATATATATATATATATATATATATATTCAACACGGCCAATAGTACAATTGGCATAGTGTCACGTATAGAAAATACAATAAACATGCGAAGATAGAAGGGGGAAAACGATCTTCATGGGAATAATGCGTCACACCAACTCCTCCATTGTTCACGATATCTTTCCATGTCCAAAAGCGTTTCCAGCCATGTGTGCTCTGGATCCTTCACACTCCAGTCACGGAGCCGAGAGCACCCGACCGCGGCTAAATTTGACGTTAGCTCCTTCACGCTCCTGATCCAAATCATACGTTGGCCACCTTGCTTTCACTTCCAGCCGACGTCTGCGTGCACGAAGAGGGCACAGCGAGGTAAGCGAAGAGTAGGCATGCGGAGAATGTGCCCAAGCCACTGAAGTCTGCGCAGAGAAATTATACTGCTCAGTAGCCGGCAAAGACTGTCTGATCTGAAAATCCTTCGTCGAATATCCTCATTCTTACTGTGATGTTGCCATCGTACACCAGCAATGCTCCGAAGGCAGCGATGATCACAAACAGACAGTCTCTCAACATCCTTTGCGTGAACAGGCCATCTCGCAGCCATAGAGGAGTGCCGTTCTCACTGTGGCATTGTAAACTCGGCCCTTCAGAGCTAAACTCAGATCACCTTGACGCCAGAGATGGCGGAGATTGACAAAAGCAACCCGAGCTTTGGAGACGCGCAAAGAGACCTCATCCGTTAAACCATTAGCGCTGAGGCAGCTTCCGAGGTAAACGAACTTGTCTACCACTTCAAATGAATGACATAGAAGGGTAAGGTCAGGAGGAGCGCTTGGCCAGTCCTGCAGGAAAACCTTACATTTCGATGGTGCGAAGGTCATTTCAAACTAGGAGACAGACGTCTCCAACCTACACAGAATAACACCCATAACCCACCTGGTCTTCTACTTCTGACCCGTGATCTGGATACCCAGAGATGAAGTAGATGTCATCTTACCTGAAATCCTTGCTTAACACTACCAGCTGTCTATCAATCATAACTCGACTTTACAATGACTCCACTTGTTTATCCGTATTTGCCACGGTATCTGTTAGGCACCACCGCTGCTCTTCATAGTCTAATGCTCACGCGCGGCATCTCACTAGTACTGCTACACCAGCGCTGCTCGGCACAAGCAATTTCCATGGCAGTAACTGTCAAAAAACTAGGGGCACCCGCACTAATCAGACCAAGGAAATGGATGAGAACGACTACTACCATGGTCATGTGGAAGGTGCATCTTAAAACAAGGAAAATCCCTTAATAGTGCCAGAAATGTTGCGTTTTCGGGTCGCTGCTGACATCATTGTCTAGTTCAGCCGTCTAGAAGTCCACGTCACAAAGTGTCATAAGGAAAGCAAGTAGCTGGCGGTCTTGTGATGACAGTTCGCGCCTTGAAGGGACAAATCACATACCATTTGGGGCTTATCGAGTTGGCTGCACCTCAATACGCGTGTAGATAATCGCGGTGACGTCTTTTGCGTGATCATACTTCTTTAGGTGCTTCCATTTTACTGGTAGTTCAATCTCTTTTGAGGGGACCATCATGGAAACATTATGTTGGAAATTGAAGAGTTATGGGTTAGTGGGATTACTCCGGTGCTGTGAGAAAGACATTGACATGCCTTAGGCCCTGATGTGAAGTGAGTCACTACAGCATGAAGTGCGTTAAACGCAATGGAAGTCCTTACTCTGGGGGCCAGCCCTGTCCTTTGCACGTCCATAACATACATGACAGTGGAGAATGAGCTGCGCTATATCGCAGTTAGATATCAGTCATAGGGGTCCGCTGCCGTCGCCCATGGCTCTGTGGCATGAGTCTCTGGGTGGCAAGAGTAAGGTAGTGGGTTCGAATCCGACAGGATTCGGCGGGTGCGCACTACTGACGAGTCCCAACAGGACGAAACGACATTCTAGCACTTTCCTGGATCTTTGCTAGCTGTCTGACTGCGACGGATCTTCACAAAATGCCAAACAAATCCCCCTTCTACTTACAACTAATTAATCGCTTACATAATTCGCGATGCGGGAGAATAGCAAGAAACAGTAGACAGGGTTAGAGTGGTTCGATCGGTTTTCGAACCTCGGAATCAACTGAAGTTTGAGAGTCTCGGGGTCTGATAGGTGTTATCTGAGCACGACATGGCTGAGTAGTCGGAGACTAAATAAATTATCCTTGAAGATGCTCTAATCACCGCTTCAGCTCACTCTGTCTACTGTGCACGAAGATCCTCGTGGTGTTTACTGCTATTTCCATTAATGGGCAAACTCCTAGGTCAGTTAGTGCCGATTAGTTAAGTGAGCATGTGGTATCTATTTGCTGACTCTTTTTGTCCCATTTCTTGAACCCCACGAGTTAGCCGATCTTTTCTGTCCGTTTGTATCTTTCGTTCTAATCTCTGACTGATTGTCCATCTTCCCGCATTGTGCTCGGCACTATCAGGGTCTGTTATTACTAAACCAGACAGTTTTATCATTGGATGATCAGGGCCTAATGCAACAGCAGTCGGTAGAGCTACATGCAATAGCCTCAATGCCATTTGAAATCCTGCACCTCGGTTCGCTTTGAAATAGCTTTGAAATAGCATGTGCAGCGCTATCGGATTTTGAAGCTACTGTGAAGGGACCCCCAACTATTTGCATCCAAATTCTCCTTAGTAATCCCGAATTGTTTGTGTAGACCGTGGACTTGATCCAAAGAGCGCTGTCTTCCGAAAGCTCTGATTTTTTCAATCGGTTTATTGACGGAACCCCGATTCCAGACAAAACTAAAAGAACAGTGGGGTTTTCGTATTTATTTTAGCATCAAAGTATGCAGTCAGCTCGTATTTGTGAGTTGTGGATACGCACTTACGCCAGGAGCCGCGGCAATTTCTCAATATATAGATCAATGTCTCCGGTATACTTTTAATGATATTCAGACCCACAAGCTGACATGTTTGACGGGATCAGAGGCGGTCGCTAAATTGGAGCACCTCACCTAATGCATCCTTTGCTGAAGCAGGAGCTGGTTGGACTCTCATTGGACCTGTTAGTGGCCACAGTAAGATACTTGTGATGAGCTTAGGAGAAATGTTAACACAATACAACTCTTAGACTTGGTATTGGTGGTTGACAACCGCCGCCTCATGTGTTTGGACAGAGTGACAGACCATTCACCTGATTTCTTCCGTTTTCCAGCAACGATAGGGGTAGGTCGTCGGATCCGACTGATCTGTTTTGTTTCGCCATGACGCACTGACGCCGGATTCTCTCCAAGGTAGAGAGCTGGATATCAACGCTGTAACGATTTCAGGCGATAACGCAGTTGCTTTAGTCTCCGGACTGGTTATTTCACTGTTTGAGATCGTTTCTCTTTCTGGCTCAGTGTTGTGACTTCTACTTTTTTCACTGTTATATGGGTTTGACCACGTGACTCAGAGCGAGCACTGAATACTGTGGTTCAGCTATTCCTTCTTCGACACTGCCTTTACCAATGGTTTTCAGCATTTTCGCTGTGGATTTTTTGCTCTGCGCATGAGTACACACAACTCGGTGTGATTGTGTTCGATGAACCGTTGAATGACTACCATTTGCTACGCTGTATTATTGGAGGTTTCGTATGCTCCATTTCTATTCTCCGTTCTAAATGTTTGCTTCTGCGAATTCCATCCATCCGTGGTTGTCTCTTTTGATAAATTTTCTCTGCACTGTCTGATATTGTGTATGATTCGATACCGATTTGCTCACCACAAAAGTGAATACGGTAATTCCCATGAGTTGCTTACTTAATTCTATGCAGATAATGGGGACGCCGACAGAAGCTACTTGGCGCGGTGTTTCTAAACTTCCCAAATATAAAGCGTTGCTTGGACATCTCGATTGGGATGGTGGGTCGCGTCTGCTCTCGCAAACAGGCCGCGCAGCCATTAACAACCATCCTACCGTTGCCAACGAGGGCGCACTCTCTGGGGGAAAACGAGACGCAGAGTCGCAACCTGCAAACTCCGGAGGCTCTTCCACCATCAGCGTCAAAACACGCCGATTGCAGTGGTATCCAAGTCGTCCGCTGCATCGTGTCATACCCCGTTTGAACCAAGCTCAACATTCAGAAGCATTGGCCTCCCAGCTGTTGCAGTTACCGCCGTCTAAGCGCATCTGCGCTCGCAATGCGATGCGAACACCATATTTCTCCTCAGCCTTACCTACCGCACAATTGGCCTGCCTCCCAGACAGTAAGTATTCTGTATCGTCATATTTTACTACACTCTGTCGCTTACCTTCATGTCACCATGGAGTCCAAACACTTGCTTGTTTTATCTGCATTTGCATATCTTGATATTGGGGCTCTCTGATAATTGGCTCGTTCTGTTCACAAATTTTGTCACCCGACAAGGCAATGTCTCTGTGCCAGTCTTAAATTTCATCCATGTTATCCTGGTTCTTTTCTACTTCGATTACGAGATGTTTACACATGAGCCAGACAGATATGAAACCAACTCAGCTCTAACGAGACCATTTGGATCAGTTTGTCACGTCTATGTTTTTATTGGCACCGACGGACATATTATTTTTCATACCCATCGGATGCACGCCGTTCGGTTCAGTTGGGCAACGTTTCACCCACTGTGTCCATCGAAGCACTACAGCTCGTCCCCGCCCCAGCACTTGTATGTACACTTCTATTATTTGCTGATATCTATCACCAACGCCTATTCTGGTCCACAAGTAGTCGTTTATTGTTCATTTTTGTTCTTCGCCATGAAACTTTACGATTAATCTGTGTAGTATTTTATTTTTCTCCCTTTGGTTCAGTTCATTTAGCCGATATGCGCTGCACCAAGTTAACATGGGTTGCGCTACTATTGTAGCAAAAGTATACCGCAAAATCAAACGTAAACAGACTTGCAGATGTTATCAAAACGGAAAGTAGATCAAGAAAAGGTTGACAGTGAAAGGCAGAATACTGTATGCACGTCACTACCCATCATGCAGCTTAACTGCATGAAGTATGGTACATAGCTGCTGTCATAGTTCGTCTCGTTGACTCCGGCTTGGACCAGCATGTCAGTCAACTTCTGGACACGATACGACTGGTTGGTTTTATGGGTTTCGTGCACACAAGAGTCAGCGGACATTCAGGGCACCAAATCGACAGGTGCGCGAAGGATAGCCCTACCGATCGTACTTGGTAGGAGTCCAGCAGACGGTCTAGCTCGTCACGATAGGCTTCGATACGAAAAAAATCAATAGGCTTTTCTCGACCTTCCTCATTTACACTTCTGCTATATACTGATGATGCGTTGCATGCTTTGCCGATCAGTCCCTAACTACTTTGATAGCGCCCTACAACATCATAGAGTAATGCGAATCGCACCGCGACATTATGCACTTTATCCTCTATGGTTTTGTTTCTCTTGCTTGGTCTGGGACATTTTTCGCACACATAATGGTTTCTTCAGGCGTGACATGTATGCGGCTGATTTTGACAGCAACCATTTTCATTGGCTGTGGCCTGTTAGTGAGAGCTGTTCAGTGTCAACTCATCCGATCGGTGCGCACAAGCATACCGCGGTTTTTAATGCCCTATATTAGCCACCCTGCAGCGTTTTTATACCAACTGGGTTAGACTCCAAGACAGCAATGCACTCCGGTTACCCTAATTGGACTATATGGCCACCAAGGTTAGGATTCAGACCCAACGAAGAAAAAGGTATAGAGTCGTTCAGGGCCATTTCAAGTGACAAGTTAACCAGACAACGTAACTTAATTTTAAAGCTTTCTAGTTCCCGTAATACGCTCATAAGGTGCTTATTTTATCCCTAAACTTGACTGATTGTATTTGTATCGGAGACTTAGAATGGAGATGAATTTCTCAGACATTTCTTCTGAACAGACGATGCGCTACAGCTATGTTTAATTAACTGGTATGAAGGCCATCGCTACATAGTGGAAAACAAATATGGTAGGTTAACATATGTCAAATACACCCTCAACCGTGGTGTAAACCATCTTGGCGTTATTGACTTAACTGGTGACGAAGACCAGTGAGCCTTCACATGATGATGCTTGTCTGGGAGCATTGAAAATAAGGTGAACGTTTCCATCATTTTCGCTCTACAGTTTTCTACCAAGAAAACAGTCACCGGCTGGAATGCACCTCCATGTACTAGTAAGAGGATAGTAGGGAGATCTGATGATTCAGGTGGTTCAGAGGACCATGGTAACACAGCAGAACTTATGGATCGTTCTTCAAACACTTGAACCGAACCTTTGTGTGTTCTTATATCCCATACACTTTTCTACTCAATGAGGTCTTCCTTGAACTCTTTTTTGTATGCGTGTTCGGGTGAGCTCGACGGCTGGCTGTCCGAACAGCCTCCACGTGGTGCCAGCCGGGTGGATCGGGTTACTCCCGCTCCAGCTAATAGTTCGGTGGCAGTGTTCCAGGACGTGGTGGGTTTTCGCTTGACAAGCGTTCTCTCTATAAAAAGCCACAAATGTCTGCTTAACAACACTGCGATGTGGCGAATATGACTTGCCACTAAATAGCCACAGCCTTGCCTTACCGGAAGGTCTTACACGTTTCGCGAACGTCGACCACTTCAAAGGTTTCATTTGATCCCTTCCTATATTGGCGCATTCACCGAACAAACTCGCAAATTTATAGTAAGATCAACCAATCCACACAACGCGATTATTTACACATGCACCCACATACATACACACATATATCCAGTATGTATTGGTCCAGTCGTTACCTTTCTGTACCATTACTGATGGTACGCGTTTGTATTACCATGATCGTGCCTTTGAAAGCGTGTCTCGCATCGTCGAGAATAACTAGTTTATTTATTTGCTCCATTTCGCATTTTTGTGCTATTTTCCGTCGCTTTCGACTAGTCCAATTACTTAGTCGTGCTCATCAATTGGAAGTATCTTTCCTTATCCCATCAAACTAGTGGCTTTTTCGAAGCACCTACTCTTTTTACATCTCATGTTAATCGGGAATGTGACTGAAAGAAGCTTACCAACTCTTTGTTTGTGTCGTTCGAAAGGTGTGTGTTCCGGTGATCGATGTTTAATGTCAGAGTCAGGCGCTTCTCTGAGTCTCAGTGACTCAGCCCTATGCGAGCGCTTGTTCGGATTGCACCAACAGTTTGATGTGACCGACAAGCCTGCAGTGTCGACCCTCCATTCAAATTCAACATAGGCTGTTTCGGTGTTCACCAGGTGACTCGACACTAGCCATTATGCTGCAGGGCTGTAGTATCATTGTTATGCTTGTATTCGCCACACACGGGGAAGTAATTACTTGTGATCCTAAGTGGCATTATGGTCACTGTTCAGAGTCCGATAGGTGTCCATGCAACCAGAGTTGATCACCTTGTTTCCACTTCTGGCCATGCCTTTGGATCAATAGCCTGATCCCAAAGCAGTAGATAACAAGTTCAGCTCAGTCGTGTGATTACAGACCCACTGGAATTTTCTTGAAATCTGTCCCACACAGCCTTTGATGATTCGAAACAATTCACGTGTCTTTCGACCGTTGTAGGTAACGCTTCTGCGACTACAGCCAACCGCATGTGGGAGTTCACGTGGGTGCGGTATGAAACCTCTGAGCACAGAGCGCTACCCTTCCATCGTCAGAGACAATACATGGCGCTGGTATGCTACACCAATCCAGCTGTGACCTTATAACCCGTAGATCTGTTGTCTCCCATGTCTAGTTTCTAAAGGCATAGGGCCATCAACTTCTGAAACTCCGAAAAGGATTGGATTGTAAAATTCCTCGACATCGTTACACAAGTTAGCTAGAGGTGGAAAACACCTCAGCTATTCTGCCACAATACGTAAGAAAAGAATACAAAACATGCAACAGAAACACACCAGTTGAGTCACTATTAAAGGATGGGCATCGTTCCGGAAAGCTACCATTCAGCATTATGCCGCAAAATATTGTACTATGCGAAATGTATAATATGCAATGAAATGAGATCTTGGTAGGAGAGGAAGGAACAAAGCAACTCACAGCACGAACGTCGTTAAGGTCGGCACCTAACCATGTCAGCAAGTGTATCCAGCCAAACGTGTTCATTGCCTTTCGGGATTTAAACCAGGGTGGCACCAACCGAGGCTAACATAGTACTAAGACGCTTCATTCTCCTTGACGAAGTCATCGCTTGGCCAACCCTTCTCTTATTCCACCCACACCTCGACGCGAAAGTGACGAACGTCGCAGGAGTCGGTGTGCTGACATGCGCAACACGTGACGCAGCCATCGGAGCCTGGTGCTTGAAATAACGATGCTGATCGGTTCGTTTCCTCTTCCTGTGCCATAAACAAGGTGTCGAACACGCTCATTGCTCACACGGTGTTGCCACTAGATATAAGCCAAATTGCGAAGGCACCGGTGATCGAATGTAACTAGCTTTTTATGTCTGTCGATCTAATGGGCCAAGTTTCAGAACCGTACAGTAGGGTCGAACGTACGGCTGCATTGTAAACTATAACCTTCAGGAAGACAGTGATGTCGCGCCGGCGCCGTAGATGGTGAAGGTTAGCAAAATCGCCTAGTGCCTTTTTTATACGGTTTGTGACCACTACTTTAATACCAACGGCGCTGATACAACTGCCGAGGTAGTTGAACTTTTGAACGACGTCTAGCTGATCCTCACCAAGGATCAGCGCGGGAGGCGGTCTCTGCAAGTCTTAGAGGAAGACTTTGCACTTTGAGGGTGCAAAGCAAAGCCCGAAACGGTTGACGGTCCTCGCTAGTCTGTCCAGTGCAGCTTGGCACGTTTGTGAGCTGTTACACATGAAGGCAATACCACCGGCATACTCCAGGTCAAAAATTTGTTCACTTGGACGCAACTCTGCACCTTCTACATCTTGTTTTGGGAACGCAATCTCTATGACTTCCTCAAATGCGAAGTGAAACAGGAAAGGTGACAGCGAGAATCCTTGTCTTACACCATTGATGCCTTACCGTATGCCCTCACTCTGCCCGAGCTGGGCGCATAAAGCGCTATGATAATAATCACATCTCGGGCCCACCTTTCTTTAGCATACACTCCCTGAGGGCACATAGACCCCCCGAATCGAAGGTACCCTTTCTGTCGAGGAACACGACAACGGTGGATGCCAATTTATATGAGACTGTTATTCTGATCTTTATCCTTTGACCTGTCTGTTATGAGTGGCTCTGAAAGCACTTTGAACGTGGCATCCGGTGTACGTCAATAGTTCACGAAAGTGTGCAAGCCATCGCACCAGCTTAAGGTTCAATCTCATCGCGTTGTTCTTAGAGGTATTATGTAAGAGTATAAGGCGCTGTGTTTTCAAACACTCCCTGCTACGTCGCACATTAGAGGTATCACTGCACACATGGCTGGCATATATCTAAGAAACTTACCGTCCGTCTTTCTCCTTTATTCAACACGGACACCGTACTTGCCTCGAGCAAGCGCAAGCACGTCACCGTTAACTTCGAGATGATGCTCATCATCACCAGTCTTAATCACGTAGTCTAGGCTACACCATCATCCTCCTCGCGACATTGCAATAAACTTTATGGTAAGAGCTGTTGCCTGATGTGGCAATGCACAAGCTTTGGAAGACTAAGTTTGAAATGAGTACTGCGAATAGCCAAACACGAATGTTCGGTTGCGTCCGAGATACGAATCAGACAGCAAATCGAACGCGAATTGAGCACTTGCCATCACTGGATGTGCTCAGCGTAGTCATCCATATTCACACTCCTGTTCTCATTTGACGACATTTAGCTGATCTACAATGAGCCCAACCGCCGTTAAGTTAACTAGTGGAGACAGTCACGCAAGTTGCGATATTACGCGACAACGGCACTCTTATTGTTAGATACATCACACCATAATATATGCCCAGGCACTGAGGGGATGCTCATGCACCTGTCTCGCAGAGCTTCTTTTCTGAGTTACTCCTTAACCCTTGTACGGCTGGCGCTTGCAACACTGTGTTCATATAGATATAAGATGGTTCGACCCAAGGCACATGCTTACTGCTCGGCGTTCACTTGGCTGCCTAAACACTTGGACAACCGAACCTGAGCCAGCGTAATTTGAACAACAACCAGCTTACCGGTTTTCTATATGCGACGTCCAATTGAACTGGATGCGCTTCCTTTCGGAGACTGGGGGATCCGCACCACTTAAATCTAGTCATCAGAGAGTTCGGCAAAAGTTTTGAAACGCATCAGCGTTGATTGTATCCTATCTGAAGTGGGCTGAAAGACTGATTGCGATTTTGACCTCTTCTTTACATTTTTTCATCGGTAGTTCGGACAGTTTTGTACCGAACTGCATTCGGCTTGGATTGGGTGATAAAAACGCAGTCAAACAGTCTCCATACCAACACAATTTATCACAAACAATGCACCTACCTGCAGATCTATACATTAACTGGGCTACTTGTTTGTAGAAAACTCATTACTCATATCCTCGGTTTTTGCTGTATCCTGTCTCTTCGTTCCTTTCATTTAACGACGGTCGTCTTTATTCCTTTTTTTCAAATGGAGCTTAGTTATATTAGCCCATGCATGAGAAAAAACCCCATTGATTGTTGCGCTCCTCAATTCGGTCGATTGCGCCTGCAGCCAAAGAAGTTCTGCTCACATTGCGTCATCATTCTACTGTCGAGCTTTATCAGTTTGGTGCAATCAACTTGGATCTCTAGCATTAACGAGCCGACATACTTGGCAAATCGGTCCACGATCGCCAACTATACCCCGCGACTAGGTGGTGAAGGGGCAGTGCTTCAGCTGGTAGTCCCTTCGCTCCGAGTTTGCGGCACATTGCTGTTATCACTACTTGACAAGCACTAATGGGCACAGAACCGGTTGTGGAATGCGGTGTTGCGAAACAGCCAGGCTTACCATTTATGCACTGTGTACGAAACTTCGTGATAAGGATTGCTTGAATACAGCGTTCAAACTGGATCCCATCCGCATCGATCGAAAGCCACTTTTGTTCTATATCGTATATAGAGATCAGCTGTGTGTGATGTTTGTATATACCCGTTGTCCACCTTTCTGCGGTTCGAACCTTTTCTAACTCCGCTATCAATTTGCGGCGGTGTCCCATCTACATATATAAACTACCCTCAAACCGGTCTTCGTCTGACACAAATATGCAGGTAGTGCATTCTAAATCTCGCTTTAGCAGCGTCTTGCGGATTCAAGAGGTCACTCCATTTGTCTTCAAAATTGGCGCACCTGTGACTGGATTTATGCTTTCACTTCATCTGTTTGGAACTAAATGCGAACTGAGCTGGTCAGGCTCACCATTTATACGTTGTTGCACTGTAAGCCACTCGATTGATTGCTTGCTGATGTTCTCCTCCACATGGCTGTACCTGTTTGCTCTCTCTAGTTTTTCTTTGCTTTACCATCTCTTACAGCCTCCTCTATCTTCGAAATCCCAACCATTCGCATGCTGCCTGAGACGATGTCGAGTCGAGTTGGGAAAAACGGTGGCTTTTCAAGACTGTTCGATCGTCACCCCACTCGGGATGCTCCATGCGTTAATTCATGTGATTGGGAAGAGGGAGACGATGACGATGAGTCGACGCATGCCGCACGTCACTATGTCGAAGCTACCGCTGCCGATGGAATCGCCTCGGATGATCTATCATATTCCTTGGAGGTGCTCACAGAAGAAATGGGCGGCAATGAGGCTGTTCACGGTGAACGGCATGGCAAGTGGATTCGTTCGGGGCCTGGTCTTGTCGGGCGAGCGAGCACTCACGGGTGGGACCCGTCGTCCACAAGTTTGTCCTCGTGTAATCCAACGCATACTCAAGCTCCTAGCTATCTCGATACCAATAACAACCACTATATTGTCGGGCAGGAAAAGCCTTCGATTCCATGTGGACATACCGCCCAACCACTGCACCCACATTCGTACCATGGTCACAACCGCCTGTATGCGACGCGAGCCTATGAATCGGCTGACGCAATCATTCAAGCCACACCTATCGAAAAGGAATCGCACCATGAAATGAACCTTTCTCCGGAAAAGAAGGCAGTGCGAGATGCCGCTCCTGTAAAGTATTTCCCTCCTAGCTTTGACCAGTTTCAACCCAGTGCCTCTGTGCACGGAACCAGAGACCTTGCTGCGAGTAACATCACCACTAGTCTTCCTTCACACCCAAGCGCAAACCTTCCTTTTCACCTAAAAGGTGATCAAATTTCCAACCCCACAATTTGTTCTTCCAGTTTTACCTCTCCCTGTCCTCCACCTCAAATGGCCGGATTTCCTGCACACCCTCCTTCAGTCTACCCTGGTTACTATTTTCCACTCATTCATCCTGAATTCGGCAATCTGAGTTGTGGCACCACACCTTATTCCGTCGATGAACGTCGCCGGGCAGCCGCCGCTGCAGCTGCAGTTGCGGCTGCCTCGGCGGCGATCGCTGCTGCCGCATCCCTATGTCCACTCGATCAACAGCTGGTTCCATTCCTTGCCTTGCCTCCTTCGGCAGTGCAGCACGGATCAGACGCATCATCCCCTTCTTGTTCTTGGTTCACCGCACAAGGGAGTAAAGGTAACGATATTCCGAGTTGCAGCAAGGGCTTGTCTAACATTGGACCAGATGTGGCCACCGGACACCGTCCCAATTCTGCGATGCTTCCATACCCTTCTCATGTGAACGTTGCTCCCTCTAACTACATGTGTGCTTACCTTATGCCCCAAGCTCCCCTTCAATATGCTGCTCCATATTGGTCTCACGGATTGATGCCTCAAAACGATCGGCAAACTCCCGGTCCTTATTTCGCATCTTCTCCCTTTGCTTCCACCATGAACTCGTCTCAAATGAGCACTTATGATCCGAGCACTACAGAGCTCGACCATTCCAAACACCTGAAAACCATTCAACCGGACGATGTGACCCTCATCTCCAGATCCCCTGAAATCGTAAGAAACGCGCCAAAGTCGGTTCAAGCTCCTGATTTGACTGCTAACTGCGTAGTTACACCGTCGGAAGCTTCATACCGAAGTTTAAGTCCCCAACAGGAATCAGCGCTTTATACGAAGGGCACTCCAGCCATACCCGTTACTCAAGACCCCGGGTGCCACACTTCGGCGTCTAGTGTTCCTCAATGGATGTTTTTCTTCCCTTATAAAGTGAGCGCAATTTTTCACATGCTGTTGCATGTGTTTGTTTCTTTAATCCCTTTCATCAGGTACCCTGAAATATCCACTTCTACCCATTCGTCTGGTTTCTCGTAGAAGGTCCCAAAGCCTTGCATTCCTATTTTGTTTCAAATGGACCTTGGACCTTTTGCTAGAGTATGCTAGTCTCTTAGCAGAACATCCGTCGGCCTCATTCGCGTACTCTACGAAGCGATTGGTATTTGCCGATTGTTAAATCCCTGTTCACCCCCGACCTGTTGGCTACTTGGTGAGTTCGCGATCACTGAGTCGCCCTACTGCCACCTTAAATCTCCTAGTGGGATATTTTAGGATCACGTTTGCAGTCTACATATCAACTGTTCGATAGCTATGCATGTGGTACCAATGGCACTCTTCTCAGCTGCCACTTCTGTTGTGCGGTATGCTGACTATATTACCCTCATCTGTGACAGCTCACAAACGTGCCAAGCTGCACTGGACAGACTAGCGTGGACCGTCAACCGTTTCGGGCTTTACTTTGCACCCTCAAAGTGCAAAGCTTTCCTCTAAGACTCGCAGAGACCGCCTCCTGCGCTGATCCTTCGTGGGGATCAGCTAGACGTCGTTCAAAAGTTCAGCTACCTCGGCAGTTGTCTCAGCGTCGTTGGTATTAAAGTAGTGATCACAAACCGTATAAAAAAGGCACTAGGCGATTTTGCTAACCTTCACCATCTACGGCGCCGGCGCGACATCACTGTCTTCCTGAAGGTTTTAGTTTACGATGCAGCCGTACGTTCGACCCTACTGTACGGTTCTGAAACTTGGCCCATTAGATCGACAGATATAGAAAGCTAGTTACATTCGATCACCAGTGCCTTCGCAATTTGGCTTATATCCAGTGGCAACACCATGTGAGCAATAAGCGTGTTCGACGCCTTGTTTATGGCACAGGAAGAGGAAACGAACCGATCAGCATCGTTATATCAAGCACCAGGCTCCGATGGCTGCGTCACGTGTTGCGCATGTCAGCACACCGACTCCTGCGACGTTCGTCACTTTCGCGTCGGGGTGTGCGTGGAATAAGAGAAGGGTTGGCCAAGCGATGACTTCGTCAAGGAGAATGAAGCGTCTTAGTACTATGTTAGCCTCGGTTGGTGCCACCCTGGTTTAAATCCCGAAAGGCAATGAACACGTTTGGCTGGATACATTTACTGACATGGTTAGGTGCCGATCTCAACGGCGTTCGTGCTGTGAGTTGCTTTGTTCCTTCCTCACCTACCAAGATCTCATTTCCTGGCATATTATAAATTTCGCATAGTACAATTTTTTGCGGCACAATGCTGGATGGTAGCTTTCCGGAACGATGCCCATCTTTTAATAGTGACTCATCTGGTGTGTTTCTGTTGCATGTTTTTTATTCTTTTCTTACGTATTGTGGCAGAATAGCTGAGGTGTTTTCCACCTCTAGCTAACGTGTATAATGAGGATGATGTTGCGGCTTACGCGTGTCGACGTTACCTTATTTCTCTTTCGAAATACGCTGATGACTGAGTGCCCTGAGGATGAATAGACCTTGCGGCAGACGTTGCTTGCAAGCAGCACTTCCGTCATATGACTCATGCCAGTCACATTCAGTACACTCGCTTCCACCATTTTTCATGTGATGGTTTAATTCCCGTATTCAAACACGTTAATCTTTCGGCCACCTCAGAGACGGTGTTGGTTCGTGCCCCCGTCTGACCACTTTCTGATTACCGATGTTTTACCACTCACACTGAACTTTATTCCTGTCTAATCTACTTGCATTTTTAGTAATTCTCCCATTTTCCCCATTCTACTATGTCGTGCCTTTTCCCCTTTTTTATGCGCAGCCTGAAACTACCATTCCGGGTCCTCCTTCTGGTGTCACCTGGCCAGTGGGACAGCCCGAGATGATATCGTGCCAAACGTCCAACACATGTGGTGCTCCCAACTTCTTTTCTTCACTGTGTCAAGGCCCTCCGCTCGCTATGAATACGCCAAATAGTCACGCGTTGATCCATCCGCCTGACATCAGTTTTCATTATACCCCAAATATCAGCAAACCGCTTAGTTATCCCTACTGGCATACACATTCTTGCAGTTTGGATTCGCGCTTTGAGGATCGTAACTATTCCGACATCAACCAGTTTAACTGCCCTTCTGTGAACTCGTTTTCAAATGCTCCTCAACAAAACTTTCATCAACGTTCTGCGTCTGCATCTCAGCCACAGTCATCGATACGTCAAATGTCCCGCAGCACCTACGATCAACCCAGTCGGACAAATTCCACGAACATGGCGACCGTCTATGCTACCGGCGATTTGGCATCAAACGAACCCGACGCTTTTCATGGTTTGGTTGGTTGTGGTGCTGAGTATCCCAGGTCACGAATCAACCGCAGTATCAGCTTCACTACTCCCGAGCTTATGCGCGTTGAGGCCAAAATAACGGATAATCGGCACTCATCACATCAGTATCACCGTTTGCCCCGGTCGCACGCATACTATCCGGCCAATCAGTACTGCTCCTTGGCTGCAGCTGCAGCTTCCCCATCGGCTATTTACAACAACAACAGTAACAATGGAACGCCTTGTTGCAGAGATCATATAACTCCAACGCTTATTACGACCCGGTCTCCTCTTCTCCAGGGCGATGTTAATCTGAACAAATTTGAACCTTCAGAAGAGCACTTACCCAGGCCTCCTCCGTCATTCTTTTGTTCGCACAGTGGGAGCAGTTTGAGCGGCGCTTACTAAGTGACATTTACCTTTATATGTGCATGTGCGCATCTATTCAGTTGTGGTCTCGTGTTCGGTGGTCTTTTCTCACTGGCACCTTCAGCGGCAGCACCCATGATGCTTTGTTCCTCCAGCTTTTCAACTTGACTCGAGTAATATCACATTAGAAAAATTGCCCATCGGTTTCGGCTTTCATCTCAGGCCTCCGCCTCGCATTTACCTGCAATCGCTCAAACCTGCTGAGCACTGCACCAACCTTGTTTTAGCGTTATTTTTCTACACACGTATTCTTAGGTCTGCCTGCATTGGCATTCCTGCTCACATCAATCCTCGCATCAATCATGATGTACATTCGTTTTTCGCCCCTTATGTCACCACGCTTCACTTTTTTGTTTGACCTTTCAGCGACAATATGACTCCAAGCGAGCAGCTGATGAGATCCTATTGCCATACGTCCTTCGGTTCTTTCACCTAATATTTCTGTTGAGTCGTCTACTTTGTATTGTTTGCTCGGTAACACCTGCTCAATTACTGAACGACACAAACTTAGAGGGAATACGCGATCTGCTTTTACTGATACTGTCCTCCATCACTGTTTGTACTTCTAAGGGATTCGACATCGTCTTTTCCCAACCGGTTTTATGTATATCATTTCAGTTGGATTACTGATTTTATCGTTTTTCATTTATTAGCTCGCCTTCCTGTCTGTCTTTTCACCCTCCCGCAATTTGCCGGTGTACTGTGTTCGCGTTTATTTGTACAGTCAAATCTGTTTGAATCCAAACACGTTTGTTCATTGTAGTGCACTGATCGCAGGTGAACACACGATTTCGCATTTTCAGCTTCACAACATGTGTATTTTGGAACTGGAAGCATGACTACCACTTCTTGACCACTTGAGATTTGACTCTAAGTCTTCACTTCTTAAAGGTTGGCATAAAAGTCAACATGCTTTCGATACTGGATGTTTCAGGTCATATGTTCAGCTGCAGCCCTGTGCGACTGGATATATTTGGGTGTTGCTCTTCCGAACCCTGACACACCACGACCGCGGTTTCGTCTTGGTTTAGACTCGTCAGGTGGAAATAGCCTGAGCTGGGGTGGAACCCCGAGCTTAGTAGTTCATGGCTGACGCCCTGAACACTATGCTATTGAGATCCGCGAGTAACGCTTGGCACAGCGGAAGGTAATTCAAAGCTGAATTTAGGGAGCACGCTTTGTGGTTTGGTTGCGACTCGCAACCTATATTGAGACTTCGGTTCACTTTGTGTTAAACCTCGGTCATTCCGATCTCGAGGACCGTATCTTGAATAGATTTGGGTGTTGCTCTTCCCAACACTGGCACACCTCGACCGCGGTTTCGTCTTGGTTTAGACTCGACTGTTTAAATATCTTTAGGGTTTCTCACTTTCAACAGTTAGGTCTCGTGCACATTCTGAATATTAGACATCGGTGAGTGACCATGTGCTTACTGCTTCGTCATATAGTACTTGATATCGATAACGGTGCCTAAATCGGATGGCGTTAATCTGAAAGATTTTGCCTTATCCCTACCTACCAACTCACATCCCAATAAAGTACCAACGCATCGAATGTTATCTACCGTTTCGCTCGGAAGAGCTTCGGATTTTTCGGCGTTGACAGTTCCCCCCCCCCATACTAGTACGCATTTTCAGTCTACCTGTGATCAGCCTCGAGCTACTACAAACTATCGAAGCACATTCATTCTGATAAGCAAGGTAGGCGCTGTTGATACGATGAATGCCTGTCGATGTTATCGAATGACAGTGCGGTCACACTATTTGGTTACTCGTCTCATCCGCGGATTGGTACTCCATTATCCTCGCGCACACTGACAGACTCATTCAAAGCGCAGATGCCGGATCTGTCCGACAGACATAACGTTTGCATGGATCATTTCCTTGCGTTATCAATTAGTTAGACAGATATGTGGCTGAAACGCAAGCGCACATTTGTCTAAATGTTTGAGCATGCATCCGACCATTTACTATCATTCGAAAGCCCATTACCATTCGACAGTCCGTAAACCGTCTGTATCGAACTTTTGGGAGTAGTTACAGTCCATTTTGCAGCTATCAGTTGTGGATCTGTCTGTTCGCCACTGATCCAAACAGCACATCTCCACCCGCCCATTGAATTGATATCGGTGACTAGCATCGACAAGCATTGCTGTGGCATCTAACTGACCTATCAGCAGCCAACTACGAGGTTTGCTTCCATCGGGTTTATCTTGTTTTGGGGCTTAAGTCTGATCACTGATAAGCGTAAGTTGTGGTTGTTCCACTGCTCTCCCTGTACTCGGTAAGCTAAGTTTAGTTGGGATATTGGCTAGTGTACTTTCCACACCAGCAACAAAGCGACTTCACCGTCGCAAAAGAAAGACGAATCTGTTCCTCTCCAAATGCTGTGCTGATTTCACAGCTAAAAATGAATTACGCTCCTCGACCTCACAACTTTATGATATGAAGAAAAGCTAACATTCATTGAGCCCCTCAAACATGACCTGATTTAGCTGGATCTCATCAATCGTCATTATACACGTTGGCTGGAAGTGGTAAACACCTCAGCTGTTGTGCCACAATAGGTAAGAAAAGAAGAAAAAACCTGCAACCGAGGCACGCCAGCTAAGCCACCAGTAACTAATAGGCATCATTCAGGAAACTTATCAGGGGTATTGAGCCGCAAAAAGATCATATTACGCAAGATTTCTAATATGCTAGGAAATGAGATCATGGTAGGAGAGGGAGATAAAGAAACTCACAACACAAACGCCGTTGATGTCGGCTCCTAGCCATGTCAGCAAGTGTATCCAGCCAAAAGTGTTAATCGTCATTCTGGCCCCAACCAGGCAACCGAGAAACTGCAACCTATGCCAATTTCGAACCAAGGGTTTTCACTCCTCTTGACCAAGTCATCGTTTGGCCACCCCTCCTCTTCCGTTTACACCCTGACGAGAAGCAGCGCACGTCGCGGGGGTCTGTGTGCTGGCATGCGCAACATGTGGCCCAGCCACGAGGCTGGTTCGTGGAATAATGCTGCTGATCGGTTCGTTTCCTCTTTCTGTGTCATAAACAAGGCATCAAACACGCTCATTACTCACCCGGGGTGTCTCCTTTCCTCCGAAGTCCACGAAGGAACGTGTAGACTAAAAAAATATGGTTTTAACATTCCGGACTGATTACCTGTGGCTAAAGTAGCCTTAATAACTCAGGGTTTGTAACATGCCTAATGTTAATGGCATTTTGCTTGTCTTATGTTCGCTTTCAGCCAGAATAGGTCGGCGAGCGTCCAGAATTTCCAGAGGCTGTGTAAAGACCCAATGTCCAGGTTGGCAATTTGATTTGCCATGTGAAGTAATGCCTGCTGCTAGTAATGTCTGGCGAACCAGTGGTCTTTAACGGTGTTTACTACTCATCTCGGGTGCCAGCGTACTTTGCTACGCGTTCAGAACACCGAATTTTACCACTTGGATGGTGATTATGTAGCACAGCGATGTTGTGAACTTCCGCCAAAGCGCACTCGAAGGTCTGCCCACACAAGAGCATGATCGGAGTTCTCGCTCATGATCCAATTCAAGCGACAGTTTTGAACGCAGCCTCTCCAGCGGCAACTGATCACCATGTGATCGATTTGCGTCCATTTCTGGTCCGAGTCTAGTGGGCGCTAAGTTACTCTTCTGCGAATGCTGTGTCGAAAAGTAGTGCTTTCGAATAAGAGGCGAGCATCTTTACACCGTTGTAACAACCACTCACCGTTATCATTACGGGAGTCTACACCATGTGGGCCGCCTAGATGAAGCTCGTCAGAGGATAACTTTCCGACTTGGGCGTTCACCAGCATGTAGCACAGTATCCGTACTTTTACTGTAACGAAGGGGGTTCGTTAAGTTGGTGATAGAATTCATCTCTCACCAAATCAGTACTACAGTTTGTGAGCGCGTAGACCGCAATGACAAACAGGCACCGTTTGTCCTCGCACGACTTCGAAGCCTGGAACGAGCCAGCCAATTTAACAACGCACATCCGGCTGTTGACTGGAATCCAATCGATCAGGGCAGCCCCAGCCCAAAGAGTCGAAACATGCCGACGCCAGCTTGACCGACCTTTGATGCTGCGTCATCGCCAGACAGGCGCAATGAGAATGGGCCACCAGTGTAACATTTGGGGATCACAGGTTGGGCACGAGGCTCGAATCTTGCAGGCGGGTTTCCGATAATTAGCGAACATCGATCGATAGGGGGCTCGTGTTTTAGGTAAGTGCTGCCTGTTGACCAACCTGCAACAAAGTGCGCATATTGAGTCATATCATTCTTATCGAGGATCGAAGACTCCAAAGAGAAACGGATGAACTGACTTTGTCAGCTTGGGTAGACATGGACTTGGCTATAGCATTGAAGACTGGTAGCTCAGGTTGTTCAGGTGGCGGTTGAACTGTTCGCTGAGCTTTTCAATTTCGTTGCAAACATTTCGTCACCAATCTAGGTGCCATCATCAGTGCTTAGTTGAATGGCGTGCAGTAGTGTACAGGAGCCTCGGTGACAGTGCCCCGAGGCTTCTCTAGACTACTGCCTGCCACTCAACTACGCACTGATGATGTCACTTCATTTGGAGACGAAACCTTTGCAACAAAATTGCCAAGCTCAGCAAACATGAACTTGTCGACTGGAATAGAACAGCGCCCTGTGATTACATGTGAGTTGAAACTATGAGACAAGCGACTACTGAAGCAAGTCGGGGGAAGGCCAAGAATTGGGGGCTGAAAATAGGGGATAAAAGTGAAGTTGGAGCGGGACGCTGAGGGTGAAAAAGCACGTGGGAATGAATTACGAATCTTAAACCATCGTGAAGGCATATATTGCTCTCTACTTTTGTCTGGTCAAAAAGGTAGATATGCACTTGGAAAGTGCAGTGTGAAGAGGATGACCAAGGTCGGTGAGTATCTTAGAAGCAGGTTTATTGCATGACGTTACGTGCGTATGTACAACTTGTAAGCCAAATTTATTTTGAAACGACACTGCAGCGAGACAATACTTCAGTCACCTGTCAAACAGCTTGAAATGCTTACACTGCATGCTTTAAAAATGACAGGGGGGTCCAGTGTGGTAGAATACACACGGTGATACACTCCAGCTTCAAATTGTATGCCACACGGGATGACTTACAATGAAATTCGCCTGACTTTGGTGAAGATTTGATTCACACGATGTGACCACGACAAATCGTGACTCAGTGTAACTCCAAAATACTTCACTGACGTACGTAAGCTCAAACTGTCATCTACAAACTGAAGGTTGGGACATTCCGTGACTTTCTTGGTAATGAGCTGCTTTATGTAGTGTAAAACGAATATCAATGCACTTGGACGCCTCATTGTCAAGCAGCGGGAGTTTTACCACTACACTAATCCGTCTAAACAACTTTGCAGCTAGGATGAAGTGGGCGGAGGTTTGATGATCCACGCCGTTGATAACTTCATCGGCATATTTTATCAGTAATAGGGCTAACGTACGTGCAGAACAAGAGTGCTGACAAAATAGCTCATTGAAGGACACTGGATGTTGTATTAAGTGATGAGGAGCTCTTGCCGCCAAACCTGATGTTCTGAGTACGTTTTGAGAGATAATCCTTTAGAAAGTATACTAGGGAAGCTTGAACACCAAACGTCTGTATATCTTGCAACAGCAGCTTACGGTTAACATAACCGAAAGCGTTATTGCATTCGTGAGAGCAGACACGTGGTGGATTTGCTCTTACTGTCTAGCGACGACAAGACTGAATGCACTAGACAAGCCACTGTGTCTTGTGTGAATCTTGAACTTCCATACGCAAGCTGCAATGAGTCATCTAAACGGGACTGGGCTAACATATTTTCAACAGGGAA